GTAACATTACCATCCTCCTCAGTAGCTAAAGGATCCTGCAAACAGAAATCATCCGAAGCAGTTGTAACAATTGAACTGCTTTAAAGCAAGGTCAAGTCTGTTCAGCTGTGTCCACTTCAGCTGGTGAAACTGAGGGAGGGACAACGGGAGATAGTTGTGGGAATTCATGTCCAAATAGGATTAGCCCTCAGGAATTTGTCTGTTATTGTGATACAGACTATCAAGCCACTCCCCTCCCTAGAGTTTGATTTAATATGGGCAGCGATTGTGCGCAGGTGGCAGGGCAAGGGCTCCATAGGTGTCTGAAAAAGAGCAGTGTGAAGTGCCCCTGGAAATAGAGAGAGGTTGCTGTGCTGCACTTGAAAAAATGATTTTTTTTTCTATGAGCACTGTGTTTGGGAAATCTCTCCTGTGTGCTGATGAGCTCCTGTACCTGGAGTTTGCTGCAGGCTCTACTGTGAGCAAGGGGCTGGTGGCCTGTCCAGGGTTGGTGAGCCACAGCAGCGTGGGAGGACTGAGCTTGGCTGAGGGGTGTTCAAAGGTGATGAGTGTGTCATCAGGAAGGCAGTTTAAGTCTGCACAACAGAGGAGGTGACAGACAATAGTTCCCAGTTTGGGACTTTCATCATCTGGCAGAAACGATTGAGGAGTCACTCCCACAGTGGGAATTGGGAGAAGGAAGTGAGGCAGGACACTGCTTTCCTGACAAGGGGGGTACTGCCAAAAAGGTGGATTACTTGCTATAGGGGAGAGAGAGTGGCTGGGGAGGGGAGGAACTGCTCCAGCTGCTGGGAAATCAGAAGGGAGTGGTTGTGTGTGTAGTGGCTCTGCCCTTGAAGGACTGGGCAGAATGCAGACTTTGAAGCTGGTCAGTGGCCAGCAGGGAGTCTGCACTCTGTGGAGATGGTAGAGACAATGAAAAACCAGGGCCAGGGGTTCTTTGGAGCTGGGATTTGTCAGAGTGCTGGCCCTAGCGCTTTGCAGCTCTGACGTTGCAGCAGGTGGTATCCAGACAGGAGCTTCATCCATCTTCTCACAGACCCACGCAAAAATAATGAAGCATCCTATTGCATTTTATGGTGCACATTTCTCATAGTCTTTCATCTGACAATTTCTCTTGTTTATATAAAGGTATACTGCCACCGATAACAACAATAACAATAACAGTACTACTTACACTAATAATAATGAAAAAGCCTGAGTTATTGCATATGCATGACAGGACTTTTAATATCTCTGTGTGTCAGCAAGTGAGGGACAGGAATGGTGGGCAGCCCAGGATGGCTGTGCATGTCTCTGGAGGGAGTGCAGGTTTTAGGCAAGCCCTCATGTGGTTAAGATGGTGTGATTAGAGAGGATTACACGTTATGTTTAGTTCCCCTCCATAATACCTGCTTTTCTGATGAGCCATTTTGTAATTTGAAGTGCCCCAGAGACATTAGCCCCATGAAAACCAAGATAGGTTTGATGTCTCATTGGATACAGAGGGGTTGTTGGCCCTACTCCAGAGGGAGAGTGCTGGCAGGGCAGGGAGCTGGGATGTGTGAAGGGGATGAGGAAAGGGATGTCTGATAGCAGGACAGGAGAGGAAGGCAAATGGTTGTCCCTTGTGGGGGAGTGCCAGCAGGTTATTACCTGCAGATGTCTTCAGGGCACAGGAGCTTATGGGTCCTCCAGCTGTCCAAAAATAGATGTGAGAGGAGCACTTGGCAGCAGGAGGAAACAAGGAAGGATGCTGCGTGGGAAGAAGAACCAGAGATGTGAGGGTTTGTGGAGCACTCATAATTGCCTTTTCTGATGAAGGCATGCTCCGAGAGGAGCCAGCTACCCCCTTGCTGAGAACAGGGGCACAGGGCCCAGAAGGGTCCAGCCCTCTGGGATCTGCTTTATGTTGGCCTCCTCCATCCCTCCTCCACCTCCCAGCTCCTTCGCGTGGGATGGGAATTGCTCTGTGCAGAGACCTCTCCCTGCTTCCTGATCTGGCATGTTTTTCCATTTAGATGTCAGCTCAGGAAAATACAAGTCTGTGCCAAAAACCATCTTTTTGGGGGGATACTACTTAAGTCCATGCTTAACTTTGAACTGCAGGGAATTAAAGAGGATGGAAGCATGCATTTGAAGTTAAGCACAAGTACAGAGATAGGCTGGAGGAGGAGGAGGTCAGAGCACTCACTGACCTGCAGCCCAGGTAAGGTGCTTCTGCAGCAGTTGAGCTGCTCCTGACTTTCCATATCCTTGAGGCAGAAGCCCAGCATGTTCCTACCATGGTTAGATTAGTTTAATTAAGACATGCTTCCAAAGCATATAACTAGGTGACTTACTTGCTATTTATCTGCTCTTGAACACATTATTACTGAACTCTCCTGGTTGTTACCTGCCTTTGTACCAGAGATAAATCAACATATACACCAGTGATATGATGCGTTTGCCTAACCCATTTTCACACAGTGCCATTTGAGAAGTGAAATATTTCTTGTTGATGTCACATTGTCTTGTGGGTTGTCACACCCTTATAACTTAGTGTTCCTCTTTCTTCTTTGGCACACAAGCAGTTTTTAAAAAAAAAAATCCCCTTCACATGGTGCATAGGCTCTTGAAGGGTATTTTTAACCTATTGCACTCAGACATATTTGGTTTTCTTCTCAAAATACAAATTCCCTAACATGCTGAAATATGCAGTGATGATTTTTCTTTCTGCCTTGGAAAAAGGAATCTAATATATTGTGAGTGAACTCTGCATCCTTATCTAGGACTGAAATTGGACTTCATAGAAAATTCCCCTGCTTCTGCAGAACGCCAGTTCTCTTCCCTTTTGGGATTTATTGCACCAAATAGCCATGCTCATTTCTGTTTCTCTGTTGAAGCTTGCAAGTCTGGGAAAGGAAAAAAATGCAATTTTATAGTGCAGTTATCTCAGTTCCTGTAGATATTTTTAGTTGCTCTGCTCCTTACTGTGGTGGGGCAGATTTTGTTCTGGGGGGTTCTGACCTGCACAAGAGGAGGAAAAGTGTGAACCGCAGAGTCCCCTGCTCAGCCACAGCTCTCTGCTTTTCTGTTCCCCCAGCAGATGTTATAGGAAGGCTCTGTACAAGCCTGTCTTCATTTCTCTGATCCAAACAGTGTTCACTCATGCAAAACATATCCTCGAATTGAGTTTTCCTTTAATTGTATTCCTAGAACCAAGTTATGTCTGTAACTACGTACAGTTTTACACTTCCACTGTGATTTGCAGCTCCCTTTCTGCTGTTTGCTCAGCAAGTGGTGAAAAAACTCCTGCTGATCACTTGTCCTCAGCTATTTAATGCTGCAGAAGAGGGTCCCTTCTACTCCTAAGATGCCCTGGGGAGCAGATCACTTTCTAGGAGCAGATACACCCCTGCTTCCCCACTCTCCCTTCTCTGACTCCCGACACCCTCATGACAAATGAGCTGAGTTATGGAAATCGTTTCACGGGAGCTGTGGGAGAAGATGTTCCATCCTTATCTGCCTCCTTATGTGGCCCGTGGCAGGTCTGGGGAGAGCAAAAAACCTTGGAAACAAATGCAGCCTGGTCTTGAGGTGACGGCAATGTGTTTGAATAGAATAATGATGACAGTGGCAAGTCGGCCAAAGATGTCGTATTTCAAAAAGAGGTTGTTCATTTAAGTGCCCATGAGATTTGGGAACCAGGCGTCCTCAGGAAAGTTAGTGGCCTCAGGGTTTCTCTGTCCTTCGGTGCTTTTGAAATATCTCATCCCTCCTCAAGAATATTAATATCAGAGCTATGTAAAGCCAAGTCCTCAAAAAGGGAAATAAATGCAGAAAGAGCTATAAATAGGAAAAGATATTCCAGAATCAACATCTTCTTAAATAATTTTTCTCAGGGTAGATCCTTTTGAGGTAAAGTTGTATATTTAAAATGTAAAATATTTGCCTACTCTGCACCTAATACAGGCGTTTTTTCCCTTTTTCCATGAAAAGGGACCGCAGAAGGAAAGGCAAGCAAGAGACTTGCAGTGACCTTCAAGGTGCTCAGCTGCAGTCATTTTATTAGTTTTATCTCTGAACTAGGACTTAAAGCTATGGTTCTCATTTAAGTTTGGCATTTTTCTCTTGGTTCCCAAGTAATTTTTAACATAGGTGGAGCAAATCGTGTGCTGCATGCTTCATCTAAGGCTTGTGCAGCTCTCACTGGGGCACAGAGCTGCACAGGCATTGTGGAGTGAAGGACCATGTCTCTGATGGTGCCCAAACTTTGCTCAAGGTGAGGCTGTGGCCCAGAGTCCCACCATTCACTTTGGGGGTTGGTTTTCTATATTTTTGCCCAGTTGGCAGAACAGCTGGCACCCAAAGCTGTAGCGGTTTGATACTCCTAAAAGTGAAACAAAATGGTCTTGATTTCTGACCTCACTCAAAGATAACCTTCACATCGGCTGCAAAGTCCCCCACTTTCCGTGCTGAGCACAAAGTGCACGTTGCATCAGCAGATGCTGGAGACTTCCTTGTGCATCCCCTCTCCATCCTTGGCATCTCGGGATGGGGGCATCCCCTCTCTCTGCCCAGGTTCATTCTCCTATCCCTGTGGTAAAGTGGCAGGGGAGCATACCCAGGCCGGTGTGTCAGCCAGAGCAGGACATGGTCCTGTGCCAGGCTCATGCCCTCTTTTTGGGATTACATTGTGTGAAGGATGGGAGGAGGGGAAAGAGGGCTTGCCAGGCGGGTGCACTGACCTCACAGGAGCCCCATAAATGAACGTGGCTCATAAATCTCACTCTTCAAATAATCCTGCTCTGGTGACAGGGTGAGACATCTTCATTTAGACCTACTTGAAAATTGCTGAGCTGGTTTGCTCTCCCATTCTTTCGTTTTGCTTGATCCCTTCTCTCTCTCTCTCTCCATAAATATATATTCTCCCATATATATGCACACGCACACACATGCACTCCCCTGGTGTCTCTTTCTCTCTACCTGTCCTTTCCGTGCCAGGGTACTGTAGCATTCATGTTTGTGTGCTTCCCCAGGCCGTTCATTGTGCTGCCTCCCCTGATGGAATGGATTCGGGTTGCCGTGGCTCACGCGGGGCACCGTCGCAGTTTCTCGGTGGACAGCGATGACGTGCGGCAGGCAGCCAGGCTCCTGCTGCCGGGAGTTGACTGCGAACCTCGACAGTTAAAGTAAGTCCACAAAACGCAAATCGGCTGCTTTGTGCAAAATGTGTCTCTCTCTCCTGGTGAACAGCAAGCAGGCAGGCGGAGGGCTCTGTTATTGCCTGGAGAGGCGCATGGATGCTCCGGCTCGTCACTGTGTGTGTTGCAAAATCAGCTCCTGGTATTTGCTCACATCCGTGGATAAGCTGGTTGAATGGTAATGGGTGCCTGAATATCTCACAGCTGGATCGAGCCCCTAATCTGCTCATCAGAGCTCATATGGTGGTGGTTTTCTTTTCTCTTCCTATTAGATTCTGCTTGCTAATGAGGGGCTGAAACCTTCTGCTAATTGTCTGCTTCACGTTGCTTTGCTATAAAGTACTGAAATGTAATTGGCAGGGCTGCAGATATTTTTCAGGGCTTTGTTTTCAGCATTAATGCTTAAAGGGCACATTTAAACTTATAGGTAAGACTACTTCTTGCAGTAAAATTGTATTTTTCATGCTAATGTCAGTTCAAATCAGTTGTAAATGTCAGCTTAGATAATTTGACTTTTTCACGTATCAGATGTGACCTTTGGGTTTTCTAATGGAGTCTTAAAGTATTTATTGCCAGGATATGTTTTCAGTGTCTGTTTTGCCTTATTATTGTGTACTTGTATAAAAGTACGATCTAGGGCCATTCTGGAGTCAAGAACATGTTTGGTTTTGATTTTTATATGAAAAGGCATTCTGAATCTGCCAAAGTAGAAATTGTTTACTGCTATTGCTTCACAAATTTGTACCCAAACCCCAATTTTCAGCAGTCTGCCTGTCTGTACAGCAGTGGGTGCACTCTTTCCTGCAGCACAGAAAGCAGAGGGGTGATTCCCGTGATTAGCTGTGACAACCTTCATCGGAGTAGCTGCCTTCTGTTGGCTCTGGCCTTGACCTCCTCTTTCACCAGAGAGTATAATACTTTAATTCGAGATCTACATAGGCTTTTTATAGTCGCAGCTATTCAATATTTAATTGAAGAAATATGTTGAATTTCAAAAGCCAAATCTTGAGCGTTTCACATTTCAAACCTTGGCTGTAATTGCTTCCCATCTCGGCCCTCATTTCCAGAAGTGCTGCATTTTGTGTCCCTACTGAAATGTCAGGACTTACAGGTGTAGGTACTACACACTGTCTGAAGACCTAGCAGTCGGTTCTGAAAAGGCACAATTAATTTAATACTTCTCCAAGTATTCAGGCAGGATTGCAAATAAGGCAATAATGTTTCTACTCTACATCCTCTGTCTTAAAAATTAAGCTAGATACAGTTAAATATCTGAGGATTAAAAGAACTTACAGTATACCACTCCTGAAGTTGTATTTTGACTCTGTGTGTATATATATATATATTTTATATATATATATATATATATATAATATGCCATCAGCTGTTAGACAATTTTCCAGGAGTCTCAAAATAATTTGAACTTGTAGAGAGTTGTATTATACTGCAGAAGAATTTATTAATTATGGGGAACAAATCAGCATTTAGTTTATAAGTTGCCAATAAGAATTCATTTTACAAAGAACACAAATGATTGCTGTTGTCCTGGTTGTCTTGCAAGTGGGAATGAGCCTGAAGAACGCAGTCTGGGATTAATCAGGTGAGAATAAAAAGAGAAATGATTCCTGAGACAAATTCTGGATTTTAGAGAGACCAGCCTTTGCAGTATGCCCGTATTTGACTGCAGGGGCCCAATTCATCCATTGATGTCTCAAAATGACAGTCTCTCTACAGTGCTGACAGAGGTCTGCAAGTGACTATTCATGTGCTTTGGGTTTTATTTTAAGGTCTGTGCCTACTGCCACTATAGTGCAGCAGGTTCTTTGTGTAGCTGCAAATAAGACCCTGTCTGTCTGTAATCCTGAGATCAAAGGAAGGACCAAACTTTTCTGAAGAATAATGTGAGGATGTTAATTTGAAACTTTGCAGCTTGTAATTTTTTATTTATATTCAGCAGACCCTCAGCACTCCGGATTGTCATAAGCCAAACACAAATCCTTCATGCCTCCCCATTAGGGAGGGTGCCTTTCCAACTCTCAACTCCTCAGCGAGCATCAGTTCCATAAATTCAAACACTGGATGTGGGAATACAACTTTGCAGGGGATGGCTTTTAAAATAAGCTGTGTGACAGATGAAAGCTGGAGGGTTTTAAATGCAGTTAGTTTGATAAATTTTGTTACTTTTATGGTAAGAGTTTAGCAAGTGGAACCTTGAAACTGATTAAGTTTCTAGGCTTTTCATTCACGGTCTTCTTTAGTCCCTAAAACAGAGACCTAAACCCAAAAGTTCCCGTGGTCCCCTGTGATAACTTCATGGTTGTTGTGTTGATTCACAACCTGTCATTGCAAACACATAAAGCAAAATCACCTTCCATGCTGGAGAAAAACTTGCATATGGGCAGAGGGAGAGATTGGCAGGATCTCAAAAGGCTGTGAAGTTCAGGATCAGTTTGGATAAAACCCAAATGTTCAGCTTCTTATCTGGACTACAGCATGGAGTAGTGGAGACACTTCCCAGCACAATCACATACTCCAGCAGTGAGGTTCCTGATCTGTGGCTGTGCAAATTGTCTCTGCTTTTTTTTCTGCCTTTCATTCCTCTGTTCCACTCTTTTTCTGATCCTTTTTAAAAAATCCATCTCCTTAATTTCTTTCAATGTTTTCATCTCCTGAAAGAGGAGCTGTGCTTGCTTTGGGCAGAGGAGTGAGGGAAGCTGGAATCAGTCAGGAGCTGCCTGTATCCTTCCTGACTTCTTTTCATTTTACAGCAGCAGATGGGCCAGAAAGTTTCTTCCCTCTCCCCAGCTTTCAGAGATGAACAGGCATATAAATGGTCACCTTCCCCCAGGAGAGAAAGCTTTAGACAGATCAGTTGTTTCCACCTTTTGCAAGGAGGTAGGTTTCACAGGTGGATTGAGTGCTGGATGCACAACAGCTAGCTGAGATGGCAACCCAATTTGTGTCCAGGATATTATCACAGTGGGAGACCACAGTTAAATAAAGCCTTGCCTGTACACAGGCCCTTTGGGCCACCTGGGGCAGCTGTGTGGAGTCAGTAGAGAACTGTGTGCAAGGTAACTGTCTGCTGGCATGAATCTGGTGAAGGTGGGTGCTCTGCTCCCTGTTCTAGACCTTGAAGACATCAGGGATGAAGGTGATTTGTTGTCAAAAAGGGACATAGTGGTAAAAACTGTGTTGACCTGCCTTTCTACTGCAATAAGGTAGCATTAGTGTTCAGTCTGCACTGGAACTGCCTGGCTGCAAACAGATGCCTGGTTTTGGCTTCTCCTTATAATCACGTCTGCAAGGGGTACTTTTCCCCTTGCTTCAGCTAAACACAAGAAGTTCTTTGCATGTCTTTTCCTTCCTCCATTCTGCTTAAAACGAATAAAACCCAATGTGTTAGACATGGTAGGGAGGATTGCTGGTGCATGACTACATCTGGGACAGGAGGCTGACAGCAGAGGAACAGAGAAAGGGAGGAGCATCCTGTACTGCTCAGCACAAAGACTGCTTTTTGTCAGAGTCAGGGGCTTCATTTCTGGTGGCAACATATCATGACAATCCTGGAGGATGTAAAGATGCTGGAACACCTGTGAGAGGTGTGCATCAGTGCCAACAGAGGCCATCACCCAAGAACTTAAGTGAATACTTTGCCTCTGGTTTTGGGGAAGAAAATCCTATTGGAAAAATAAATCACAGCAACAAGGTTATGAAAATGGAAAAACAGTAATCAAAAGGAGAGCAAATTATGCAGCTTAATGCACTCAAATCAGGATGAACAGATAACCTCTATCCCAACAAAGAGAAAAAACTGCCTCACAAAATGAGGGGGTCAGAGGGAAATATTTTTAACAAAGCCTGGAGTGATGCCATAACTGTAAGGATTAATAATAGTAATGCCCAACATTTGAAAAGGATGAAAAATGATCCAAGGAAAATTCTAGGCTGTTAGTGCAAGGCCTTTGAATGTTTTTTCAAGCAAAGACTGATTAAAGACATGTTGTTGAGGGAAAAATGGGATAAAATGTGACACAGATTTTCTAAAGATAGATCTTGCCAGGCTAATCTAATAACTTTTTTGATAAGATAACTGATTTTCTACCCCAAGGAAATTCAGTAGATTTCATCTATTTGGACTTGAGTGAAGATTTGATACAGTCCATGCAGAGAGCTATTAAGATGGAGAAGATGGGGGTTAGAAAAGAAATTGGAAAGTGAGCAGGGGCTGGCTTCAAGAGGAGTGGCAAGTGCTGGGTTGGCTGAGATGGGGTTGCAAGCTGGGACCTTCAGCTCTCACTCTTAAAAACTGGTATTTTTTAATTTTCAGAAAGGGTTTTGGCACAAATCTTAGCAGTGTGCTCATGAAGCTAAAATTTGCTGATGCCATGATGCTGAGAGGCATTGTCCTGACAGAGGAAGTTTGGGAAATCATCCAGGAAAAAGTGGATGACCTTGAGGGCTGGGACAAAATAAATGGGATGAAATGCAGTTTTCCACAAATGGAAGGCAAACATGTGGAGATTAAATAGAAAAATACACACTGCAGTGTATTTGTAAGATATACACTATATATGCAGAATAATATATACTATATTGAGAGCAGAGTATTGGAAAGGTGGTGGGAAAGGCTTTAGAGCAGTATTTAATCTCAGAATGATTGTAAACCACAAAAGTGGATTTTTCCTCAGCCATGAAAGAAGCAAATGTATTTTGAGGCTGCATTGGGAGAGGTATTTCCAGTTGAAGCAGGAAAATTTTGATGCCACATAAAAGTGCTAGGAAGTGATGTGGAATCACAAATCCTGTGTCCTGGTCAAGAAAATATTCACTTTGGACAAGGTAGAAAGAAATGGGCTGGGGTGATTTGATTTTTGACAAAATGTTCTCGTGAAGGCAGACTAGAGGAAAGGGGTTCACTCAGCTGGGCAAAGTGGGTGTTGAGGGAACATGTGGCCCTTCTCCAGAAATACATCAGGAGTAAACAC